CAGGTGAATTTCAGACTTCTAGCCTCCAGAACCCTGAGACATAAATTTCAGTTGTTTGAAGCCACTCAAAGTGTGGTACATTGTTACCACAGGAGTCCCAAGAAAGGAATACACCCAGCTTCCTCTCTTCCCTATTCTCCTAAAAACTAGTGCGACCCGCCTAAAGATTTTGGACAAAGGTATAAACCATGAGATTGTTACCCACTAAAAAGGAAAAGGTTCCAGTCCTTGTCTTACCTGAAAGACAAGATTACAAACAGGAGATGGAGTGCATTGTGCAGCAAAAGATTTTAAAGGATTTATTTTGGAAAAGAAAAGTACACCTCCAAGAACGGGAGGTGGGCTCATCCAAGGGAGGAAAAGCAGTGGTCTCTGTGTACTCCTTCTCTTATACTCTCGCGTAGAGGAGGGCTTTTGATTGATGGACGACTCTTGCCCCTGGAGGGCTTAGTCATATTTGTTTCCTTTGCACATGTCCTTACCTGTGGTATACACAGAAAAACCCATGGCGGGGATTGCTAAACCACAATGTTAATTATATTACAATGAGTACTGGGTCCTTTCGGTCTCTACTGAGCTGTTGTAGCTGTCGGGTTCTAACCAGTTTCTTGGGGCACTCATTGAGAAGTAAAATCACTTTGGTTGGAGGCGGGCATAATGTCATCTTCCAGACCACTCTAGCTCTCCTCCACCTATCTGCCCGGTGCCCCCACTTTTCTAACTACCTAACAAGATAAATTTGTAGAGGTTACAGAGACTTAGAAAGTTGCCCTCCCTGACTACCCAGAGTTATGTAGCCATCCAGCTGCTCTTTGACATAATTCCTATCTGGTGTTTTCTTATTTACTATTTGCCCCTGTCATTAGACTATAAGCTGCATGACAGCAGGGACCTATTCTTTTCTTCTCACCACTATATCCTGAGGACATGCCTGACAGATGGTGGACAACCACCTTTTTGATGATGAATGATTAAAATTCTTAGAGAATTTCAGCTGATCGCCGAATCTGTGACCTAGAGTGTGTTACATAATTGTCCCACCCAGATGAACTGTTTCCATCTATAAAAGGGGAGAAGTGTATGTGCTGAGAGTTAGGAGGGAAAAGTGACAAGTGCTACGGGCGCTGACTTGGTGGTTTGTTTTTTTTTTTGGTTTCGCTTAACTGGGGAGGAATCAAGCAGACTGCAAGCTCCACTGGGTTTTCCATTACAGTTTGGTTTACTGTTATATCCCCAGTAGCTAGCAGAGCCTGCCACATAGTAGATGGTCAGCAAGTTTGTTGAGTAAATGAACGGAAGGCAAGAGTTTTGAGAGATGTTTCGGATGTAAAACCTGGTAACGAACTGGATGTTGGGGAAAGTAAAGGATGTGTACAGGTTTCTGAGAGGAAAACAAATGTTTTATTCACGTGAGTGGGGCTCTCTTGACCTGGTCTTCATACTTTAAAACCTTTTCACTAAGAGGATAATTCTGAAGTCTAGAAGCAAGGTTCTAGAAGAAGAACAATAAATCCGACCCCAGTCCAGTTTTTTCACTTAAGGGAGCAATTAGCTTCTCTGAGACCAATGCAAGTTCCTCTTTCAGGATTCCTTTGCGATTAAGACTGAGTCATTTCCTGGTAAGGGGCATCTCAGAGTGGGCAGGGAAGAGAGAAGGTGAAGTCAGTTACTATAAGCCAGCTGAAAATAAAGCAAAGATTTCATGATGGAGTGTGGTGTCTGGGTTGGCAGGTCATGTCCTTAGAGGTTGAGAGACCTGAATCAGAGCCACAGATTCTTCTCCTTCCCCTCTCTGGGATTAAAAATCATAATGGATTAAAAGTAATAATGAACTTATCTAGGACTTCCAACTGATCTGGTCCTGCCCCCAAAGTTACCAAGAGTAGTGACGCCACATCCTACCCTCACCCTTGGGGACTGGTCTTAGCCGTCCACGGCTTTTAAACTTGTGAGGAAAAGGAAGTAACACCCCTCCGGGTCTTTTGAACTGGTGGACCATCCCCTCCGATTTGCACCCCCTGCCAGCCCCTCAGAAAAGAAAAGGCAGGCTTTCAAAGCTGGCAAAAATAACAGTTTGGTTTTTTAAATGGATACAAAAACAAACATTTACAACCCCTTTTCCACTTCTCAGCCTCCTCCAGGTGAAGATTTAATAAGAAAAGATTTACCTTCTGTTCGCTCCCATTTTTCAACAAAAGAAATCCACACCACTTTTCTTCTCAATTAAATTATATACTTAAATTAAATGTATATTTTATATACACACAAATACATGATTTTTAAATATATGATATGATTTAGGTCTTCCTTTAAAGCTTTTTTTATAGATTAATAAAACCCAGAAATTTAAAAGTTATTTATTTATTCATATTATTTAAAGGGCATATTAATTGGTTTGGTAGTATTTTTAAATAGTTTCCCCCTGTCTTGTTTGGAATATATGTTGAATAATTATAATGAAATGACTAGATAAAAATAATGTTCTATAAATTAGATACAACCAATTTTTGTGATGCTATTCGAAAAGGTCAACTTTTGTTAGCATGGTGCTTCAATTATTTGTAATATTCATGTAATTAACTCAAAAAAACTTCAATCCTTTTGTTTTCGGTCTAAAGGCTTAAACCAAACTACAAACAAGGCAAAGGTTACAGCATGAAAGTAAATATTTAGATTGACTCCTAAAATAACTCTCGTCAGCTACCTGTTAAAATAACTTTATTCCCATAAAATGTTTCTAAAACCACTTCTAGGAGTGAAAAGCTATATAATTTGGTGCTTTGTTTTAATTTTAAAATCTTGGCCCCAGATATTTACTTCTGAACAACTACTTTCACAGTCTCTTATTCAATATATATATCTAAATGGCCATTCTATCAATATCTCTGAAATTGTTTCCCTGTAATGCACTCTTAATTTCATTCCTATGTCTCATAATATTATCAGCAAGTATGTACTCCATTTTCTTCAGAATCTTTTGACCTAAAAGATAACCGAATGATTCATTGGAGCACTTCTTCCTCCACTACAAGCCAGAAACACCTCAGAAAACTGTCCCCTCCATTTCCCACCCAGGCTGGAGTAGAAGGTGGCAGTAGGCTTGGGTACCAAGGGACACAGAAAACACAGGTCTGAAAGGAGTTTTGGCTTTTGTTACTTGATGTTCATTTTTTTTTTTGTGACCTTCCATCCTGAACTAATCTGGTCAGCCCAGACTAGCCAGCACTTTAGTAGTAATGTTTGACCAATTTTTGTGTTGCTAAGTACCATCCACCACTATTAAGCCCCCGTCAGAAATTATTTTATGTATTTTTGCTTCTGAAGATAATCTAGTTGAGAATATTTTCTAAAGTCTATAGTTATAAGTCTTCTGATGAACAGATGATTTAGTACAGTTCAAAATTAAAATCTATAGTATGTAAAGAACTCTTACAACTCAACATCAAAAAACCCACCCAATTGGATATGAGGGTGATCTGGCTGCAACATCTGTCACCCCACTGATCGCCAGGGTTGATTCGGCTGATCTGGCTGGCTAGGCGGGTGTCCCCTTCCTCCCTCACCGCTCCATGTGCGTCCTTCCCGAAGCTGTGCACTCGGTCAAAGAGGACGACCATCCCTGATAGAGGAGGATCATTCTTCTCGGTCAAGGGTATATGGGTAGCTGCGCTCCCCTGCTAGAACCTCCAAACAAGTTCTCAAGGTCCAAAAAACCCACCCAATTAAAAAAGTGGGCAAAGGACTTGAAGAGATATTTCTCCACAGAAGATACACACATGAGCAACATGACCAATAAGCACATGAAAAGATGTTGAATATCCTAATCATTAGAGAACAAATCAAAATCATAATGGGATAATACTTCACATCCATTAGGATGATTATTCTAACAAAGAGAGAAAAAACAACAAGAGATAGTGAGAAAGTGGAGAAATTGGAACCCTCATGTATTGCTGGTGGGAATGTAAAATAGTGTAGCCTCTGGGAAAAATAGTGAGGTGGTTCCTCAAGAAGTTAAATATAGAATCACCATATGATCCAACAATTTCACTCCTAGCTATACAACCCAAATGACTGAAAGTGGGGCTTCAAACAAACATCAGTATTCAAAGAGGCATTATTCACCACAACCAAAAGGTAGAAACAATTCATGTCCATCAACAGATGAATGGATAAGCCAAATGTAATATATATACACAGTGGAATATTATTCAGCCATAAAAAGGCATGAGGTTCTGATACTACAATATGGGTAAATCTTCAAGTATTATGCTAAGAGAACTATAAGCCAGACTCACAAGGACAAATATTGTATGATCCCATTTATATTGGGTATCTAAAACAGGCAAATTCATATATATAATACAGAAAGTAGAATAGAGGCTACCAGGACCTGGGGGAGAGGCAGGAATGAGGAGTTACAGTTTAATGGGTACAGAGTTTCTGTTTTGGATGATGAAAAAATTCTGTAAATGGATAGTTGTGGCAGTTACACAACATATGGCTGTACTTAGTGACACTGAACTGTACATTTAAAAATGGTTAATATTGAGGGAGGGTATAGCTCAGTGGTAGAGTGCCTGCTTAGCATGCACGAGATCCTGGGTTCAATTCCCAGTACCTCCATAAATAAATAAGTAAACTTAATTACCTCCCCCTCTAAAATTTTTTTAAAATAGTAAATTTTAGGTCTGTTTTGCCACAACCAAAAGAAAAAAAAAAAAGAACCAGATGAGACCTATTAGTCATCTCTCCAGATGCCTTAATACATTTCAGATGTGACAGATCCAGTCTCAGACTGATTCTTCACACCAGGGCAGAGCCACAGTTTGTCATTCAACATCACGTCTTTTAGTCTTACTTGAGAAGGTGAAATAACGTGACTGACTTGATTGGTAGGAGAAAATCTGAAACCCCATTTGCAATCTGGTTTTCTGAAGAAATATAAAATTTCTATGATTGGGGAACTGATAAGGGAAGGACAGGAAGATGTCAGGTACCTAGTTTGTAATAGCCAATTCTTGTTAAAACTAAAGGTCATTTTTAAGTTAATTTTTTTCTATTACAAAATAAATGCATATTCAATGTAGAAAAATTGGAAATTATAGAGAAACATAAAGAAGAAAAAGAAAATAATACAGTGTCATCAACTCAAAACAACTGTTATTTTGGTGATTTCCTTAAAATTGTTTTTTCTCTGGTGTGCACATAGATATGTATGTGTATGTACTTAAAATGCATACGTATGTAAACAAGGTATAATCGTATATAGGTCATGCTGCATCTGTAAATATGCTTCCCCTTTTCACTCAATATTATTTCAGGAGCATTTACCAATTGACTTGTCTTTAAAAAAACTTGATTTTTACTCACTTTATAATATTCCACCATTTAGATATGCCATTTTCTATTGTCAGACCCTTCAGGTTGTTTCCAGTTGTAAAAATAAAGGAAGACCACCCAAATGAAAACAAACAGGCTATTTATTCAGAGCTTTCTGTAGCAAGAAAGTCAGCCACCATCACATGCATTTGGCAGAGACTCAAAGGCAGGCAGGCATGCAGGCAGAGGAGTTGAAAGGCTTTACTGAAAGAAAAGAAAAGCTTCAGGTGTGCCCTGATTGGAGGTTGCTGGTCAGGGGGAGCTGGGGGCGGGTTAAGGAGAAACAGGCATCATGCGATTGGTTAGGGGAGCACATTAGGTGTTTTCTAATTGATGCTAAATTGGAAGGAGGGGGAAGGGCAAAAAGTAGGGAAGCTGGCAATTACTGACCAAGTCCTTGCTCTTTGGGGCTGACACAGAGGTTGTGGTTTATATTCCTGGACTCCTTGCTGCCAGGGTGTGGGCCAGAATTCTCTTTTTTATATATGGTCTGACCATTGTTGGTATTAGTCTCTCACAATCAATGTGCATTTGTATGTGTACAATTATAAACAACACCAACATGAACATATATGTCCATAAAGTTGCACATAGCTATGAATTTGTCTTTGGGCTGAACACCTAGAAGTGTGACTGCCAAGTCAGAAGGCATAGCTTTTTCAAAGGATTGTATAAGTTTTTGACATTTTGGCAATGAACATTTGGATGGTTTAACAATTTCTACCCTCAATAGCTGTGAATGAGGATGTTTGTTTTGCTTGCACCTTCAGGCTAGGTGATTTCAATGCTAAAATAGCCCATTTGTTATTCAAGTAATAATAATTAACCAACCAAAACAATTAATATAGATTTGTTGAATATCAGCAATGTGTTCCACTCTGATGGGGAGAGGGTGGTGAAAGAGAAGATGTTAAAGACTTGAGTTCTGCCCTCCTGCAGCTTATAGCCTAGACAGGGAATGAAAAATGAATACCAGGAATAGATCTTAGGCTGCCAGTGATTGTAGAAAATAAGAGAGTTGGAAGAAGGAAAAAAAAAAAGCAAAGAAACAAATCAAAAAATAATTTAAAAAAGAAAAAGAGAGTTGGATGACACCTCCTTAAACTCTCTGACTCTGACATTCTATATATTTATGAAACCAGGACAATAATGAATTCTGGCCTCTGCAGCTTTGACTATAAATGGTGCAGGAGAGGAAAGGAAGATGAGAAGGGGGAGGTGTGAAACAAGCTGGGCATTTGATGGGAGGCATCCAGGCCATGTGAGCTTCAATGCAGATCCTGTTAAGACTAATGCCTTGCACACAGAATTGAACATGGCTTGTGTGGGAAACTTGAGGGTCTGCCTCTGGGCCTCAGTTTCCTCAACTGTAAAATAGGATAATAGCAATTGTATCATGGAGCTGGTATTGGCTGGGATTCAGTGAGTTAACACGGATGCTGGATGTCTTCCACCACATCCACTTTCCATCCTTCTCCACCCTGACCCAAGGGGCTGACCTGGGCAGCCTACATCATCAGACTCCTTGTCTCTACCTTCTGGTTGGGTCCAGTCAATGGGAGGTACAAGCAGGACACGGGAGGAAGAGAATAGGTTGGAGGTTGTTTCCTGGGTCCCTTCCCTGGGTGTCTCTAATAATACATAATAAACACAAATACGTAACAAATATAAATCCTCGACCTCACTCCGAACTGCTCAGATAATCCCACGGAGGGAACTATAATCTAAATTAATAACAGCATCCTAGATGATTCACTTCAAGGGCCCAAGCAGAGGCACAAAAATGATGGAGTCATGGTCCCGTCTCTCTGGTGGTTTAGAACTCAAGGCAGGGAACTTTGGAGAAAATTAAATAATCCTATTCTGACTTACATCGCTATTGTATTGTTATGCCTGTTTGGAGCTTAACATAAATGGAACTGTGTAGTACATACTCTTGGCTCGCTTTTGTTCAATATTGTGTCATGTTTTGCAGGTAGCAGTGAGTCATTCCTTTTTATTGCTCTGTATTATTCTGTTATATACAATACCACAAAACAGGGAAGGGCTGGTGACTTTCCCACATTACTAACAAACAACATTTTTCTCATCTGTTGTATCCTTCCACCTCCTAGCCTATCACAAGTAACGAGAATTCACTGGCATAAATACCGCAAAGAATAAAGATATATTTTGAGTAACTGCTAATAGTTTGTGAATGTTTGCTATGATATTGTGTGTTATGATACTGTTCAAAGTGCTTTACATGTTTTAGCTCACTTATTCGCCACAAACGGAGGTGATCCATGTATTATTATTCCCATTATACAAGAAGGAACCTGAGGCACAGAGAGGTGAAGTAACTCGCCTAAGGTTACACAGCTAGTAAGTAGCATTGCCAGGATTTGGACCCAGGCAGTCTGGTTTCAGAGCCAGCACTCTTAACACTCTACTATACAGCTTCTAACATAGTTCATGGGCCACCAATGACTTCTATGAAAGAAAAAACCATGGTTAAATCTCATGAGTAGCACTATAAGCAAAGCATCTGCTTTGTACGTGGGAGAAGCTCAATTCATGTTCAACTAACAAAATGGTGATGGGAAGACCAGGTAGGTGGCTATTCCAGCCTAGATGTGAGTTGCTGTGGATCTGAATGTCACAAAGATGAAGAAGAATTTCTATAGTCCCATTGCTGAGTACCAATTTCTAGTCATGAGATTAGGGGAAAATCAAGGAGCAACCTGCAGAAAAACAGTGAAACTAAGAAAGTGACTCATGAAAGTTACTCACTGACACATGGCATGCTGACATTAGACACTTACAATAACACTCCTGCAGCATGTAATCGATCCATATTCTCTGATTTCAAATGCTTCATCACAAGGGTTTCTAAGAAAATCCTGGATATCACCACTAATTATATGAACAGCAACAGGCCGTTTCCACCATCCTGTTGCATCTGGGCGGCTGAACCTCCTGGCAGGCACCTTCCAAATACTTGGATGGTAGTTGGGCATAGCTTTTTCCCACAGTTTAACTTGACTTTGCCCTTCGGCAAAAACAATCTCCAGAATACCCTTGAATATAACAACATTGGCCGGCTTCCTGATCACAAGCAAGTTTAAATAGGGAAGGGCTGCTGTTTTTCACACATTACTAACAAACCATATTTTCCTTACCTGTCACATCTGTCAGCTGCCTGCCCTATGGACAAAGAGAATTAATAGGCAAAATTCAACAATGTTGGAATAAAAGCATTTAAAAAGGTATAAATAATATTCAGGCTTATTCATATGTAGACTATCTGTTTTTGGACTGCTCATAGAGGAAAAGAGAAAGAAAATGGTTATAATCTACCATCTCTGATGTGTGTTTCAAAGTCACAAATACACAATCTTGGGTTTCAAGTGTGACTCATTCAACCAACAGTTGTTGAGACTGTTGTGTTGCCCCAGCCATAACTTTGCAGACATTCTCCAAAGACCACTAGAACACTAGGCAGTTCTCAACTTATGAAAGGACTGTGTTCCAAAATTTACATTGATTGTTTTAAACTGGGAACATACTTCTCTTCAAACATACATATTATTGCTAAAAATTGAGGTATTACATGTGTGTAGTAAAAGGTACTAATTTTAAGTGTTTAGCTTGCTAAATTTTTATGTATGTATATCCCCAGGTAACCAACCACATCAAGGTATAGCACCCGAAGTCTCCCTCATGCCCCATCTCAGCCAACAACTGTCTCTTGGGGGTCATCTCTACTCTGAATTCTACTACCAGGGATTAGATTTTTATAATACAATTGCTTTTTCATTGCTATAGAACAGACATATGTTTAGGATATAAGAATGAACTCAAGGGCAGAGTGAAATAAATATTTAAATACATATACGGCCATGAAACTGTCATCCGGAGCAGTATTTGGGACGTTTTCATACCCTAGAAGATTCCCTCATACTCCTTCCCAGTTAATAACTGGCTCTTCAGAAGTAACCCCTATTCTTAGATTACCACCGCTTAACCTTGCCTGTTTTGGGGCTTTGTATAAATAGAATTGTGCAGTATGCACTCTGGTCTGGCTTTTGTTCAACACTGTGTCTTGTTTTGCATATAACAGCAGTTCATTATTTTTTGAAAATTGCTCTGTAGTATCTACGACTGTACACAATTTCTCATTTCTACTACTCTTCTGTTGATGGACATCTAGATTATTGCCATCCGGGGCTATGAGGAGTAAAGCTGCTATGAACATTCTTGTCGACGTATTTCTTGTCGACGTCTTTTGGTAAATCCTTGTACTCATTTCAGTAAGAGGTACAGGTGTAGAAGAGCATGTAATACGAGGATTTGACCTAATCTGGGAAGGCCAGGAAATTACTGCACTGCAGTGCTTTCTGGGTGATAATGTTTTCTTAATCCCAAACCTGGAGGCCAGGAACACATCTCCTACGTCTAGGACATTTGTGGGGACCCTTCCCGCCTTTTCTCCGCTCTGGAAACGTTAAGGTTAAGGACGTTCTGGCGTTGGCTGTCACGTGTATACTTGGCCTATTCATAAATAAATAAAATAAATCCCTGACTCCACTCACAATTCGCAGAATTACTATTCTGTAGGCGGTGCTGGTTTTCTCCTTGGCGGTCAGCATCCACGTCCCGCCATCCCTTTGGGGAATTCCCCAAGTGACGTAGCTCAGGAGGAGGCTCGGCCCGCCTACGGAAGCTCAAAAGGTCCTTCCTGCCTCTCCCAGTCTTGTTTGCAATCAGAGCATGGCAAGGGATCTAGCTTCTACCGATCCATCTCTCACTGTGAATCATCTGAATCTGAGTCATGAGGGCTTCCAGCCTCCAAGGACGGCACGGTGGGTGGTGCACTTGGCACACTGAGGGCAGCAGGAGCAGGAGAGCTGTTATCACTAGATCGGATTTTGAGGTGTGATTTTGGGCATTGTTCCCGTTGCAGAGCCTCCAACTCAGTACTCCATCTCTGCCAGCAATTCTGTAAGCTAGACAATGGATGGTAATAAATCCCTCTTCTTCAACCAAACACCTTTGGCTTCTAAGAGCACTGACTGCTAAATCCTCCTACCAAAATTCCCCCATAAATAATGATGACAAATATTTACTGTTTTAATTGGTAGCACAAAATGGTGTTTTGTGTGAAAAGAGCAACCTGGTATGCTACTTACAAGTCAAACTGTCTTGATAAACGCCTATTATGGGTCTAACATCTTGCAATAACTTTTGTTCCTCCAAAGCAATTCAATGGTATGGTTATCCATTAAACAAATTATAAGGCGGGCGTAATAGTGCGGGTCGCAGGCTTGGAGAACTTCCGAGGCGGCGGTGGCGCCGGCGACGACGAGGACAGCAGGAGCGGGCCCTGGGCTTTTCGCTCACCATGCCGACCGTGGAGGAGCTTTACCGCAACTATGGCATCTTAGCCGATGCCACGGAGCAAGTGGGCCAAATGAAAGTTCTTGAGAGGTCAAAAATGTCTTTCTCGAGGCGAAAATCTGCAGTTAATTTAGGAAGAGTGCTTGGGAGACGGAAGTTTGTGAAAATGAAGAAAGGCTCTTTCGTCCAGACTTTAGTGAGGACTTACGGTTTCATTATTCACATAAAGATGCCTATCAAGTGATATTGGATGGTGTCAAAGGTGGTACCAAGGAAAAAAGATTAGCAGCTCAGTTTATTCCGAAATTCTTTAAGCATTTTCCAGAATTGGCTGATTCTGCTATCAATGCACAGTTAGACCTCTGTGAGGATGAAGATGTATCAATCCGACGGCAAGCAATTAAAGAGCTGCCTCAATTTGCCACTGGAGAAAATCTTCCCCGAGTGGCAGATATACTAACCCAACTCTTGCAGACAGATGACTCTGCAGAATTTAATTTAGTGAACAACGCCCTATTAAGTATATTTAAGATGGATGCAAAAGGGACTTTAGGTGGCTTGTTCAGCCAAATACTTCAAGGAGAGGACATTGTTAGAGAAAGGGCAATCAAATTTCTTTCCACAAAACTTAAGACTTTACCAGATGAAGTCTTAACAAAGGAAGTAGAGGAACTTATACTAACTGAATCCAAAAAGGTTCTAGAAGATGTGACTGGAGAAGAATTTGTCCTGTTCATGAAGATACTTTCTGGGTTAAAAAGCTTACAGACAGTGAGTGGAAGACAGCAACTTGTAGAGTTGGTGGCTGAGCAGGCTGACCTGGAACAAACCTTCAATCCCTCGGATCCTGACTGTGTGGACAGGCTCTTACAGTGCACTCGGCAGGCATTTCCCCTCTTCTCTAAAAACGTGCATTCCACAAGGTTTGTGACTTACTTCTGTGAGCAAGTTCTCCCTAACCTTGGTTCCTTGACTACCCCAGTGGAGGGTCTTGATATACAGTTGGAGGTATTGAAACTGTTGGCCGAAATGAGTTCATTTTGCGGTGACATGGAAAAGCTAGAAACAAATTTAAGGAAACTGTTTGATAAGTTATTGGAGTACATGCCTCTCCCTCCAGAAGAAGCAGAAAATGGAGAGAATGCTGGTAATGAAGAGCCTAAGCTGCAGTTCAGCTGCAGTACTTTGCACGGGGCCTGCAGGTTTATATCAGACAACTTCGCTTGGCTCTCCAGGGTAAAACGGGTGAGGCTTTAAAAACAGACGAGAACAAGATTAAAGTTGTTGCATTGAAAATAACAAATAATATCAATGTTTTAATCAAGGATCTCTTCCACATTCCTCCTCCTTACAAGAGCACAGTAACATTATCCTGGAAACCTGTACAGAAGGTTGAACTTGGGCAAAAGAGAGCCAGTGAAGATACAACTTCAGGTTCACCACCCAAGAAATCTTCAGCAGGACCAAAAAGGGATGCCAGGCAGATTTATAATCCTCCTAGTGGAAATATAGCAGCAATTTGGGCAACTTTAATTATGAGCAGAGAGGAGCCTTCAGGGGAAGTAGAGGTGGCCGAGGTTGGGGAGCACGAGGAAATCGTAGTCGGGGAAGACTCTACTGAACAAGATGTCACATTCTTCAGCATTGCCATGAGCTTAATATACTAAAATTGTACTTCTCATTGGATTGCCGGGGATATCCCTTTAAAAAGACTGCTGCCTTCAGCTAAAAATTTAATGTTCTTTATACCTTTGTATGTATGATCTACTTTTGTAACAGACCATGGTTGTGTCCAAGGTAAAAACCACAATGATATTTTTGGATGCTTTGTCCGCAGTCTTGACTTGTTTTTGCAGTATCATTATTCAGAGTTCATATTGTGAATCTTTTAAACATCTTGATGATTTGTTATTGAGAGGTATTCAAATCTTAAATGTAATGAAATTCAGTCCGTTTCTGATAACTGGTAAAGTTATCAGTTTTGAAAGATTACTGACTTTCCTGTCCCCTCTTGTCTTTTTTTTTCCCCTCAACATATGGAGAAGAGTAATGGTCAATCATACATTTTATTTTCATTGTTATTTAATAAAGCTAGGCAGTGGTACAGCATTCCTACATTGTGTCAGAAAAGCAAAATACTGATCAGCTTTCTTAAAATGTGGAAATGACATTACATTTTTAGAAGTAAGTAAGTTGCTTTGCACTGCTTACTTAACTCTTCTCCATATGTGTGACACAAACTTTCAGATATGGGATCTTACTATTTGAAATAGAAATGTGTATGTATAATATATATACATACATAAGCATATATGTATGTGTGTGTGTGTATATATATATATGCATGCTGTGAAACTTGACTACACAACATAAATCATTTTTTAAAATTCCAGGAACGGGTAGTCTTTGACACAGTGATTATCCTTTTGAGGCTAAATCCGTTATTCAC